TCAGAAAGCAGAGATCAGGCGGATTGCAGTTTGAAGCCAGCCCAGGCAAGTGAAGTGGCTAAGGTGTAGGACCTGAGTTCAAACCCCAGTACTGAAAAAAAAAGAAAAAAAAAATCATCTAGGAGTAAACCTAACCAAAGAAGTGAAAGATATCTATATTGAAAACTATAAAGAAAGAACTTGAAAAGTCACCAGAAGATGGAACAATCGCCCCTTTTCATGGAGGACAAATATTGTGAAAATGCCTATATCACTGAGAGCAACCTGCAGATTCAATACAATCAAAATTACAATGACATTCCTCACAGAAATAGAAAAAAAAAAAACTCCTAAAATTCATACGGAAATACAAAAGACCCCAGACAGCCGAAGCAATCCTGAGCAAAAAGAACAATGCTAGAGGTATCACAATATGAACTTCAAATTATACTACAGAACCATAGTAACAAACCAGCACGATACTGGCATAAAAAGACACATATACCAATGGAACTGAATAGAAGATCTAGAAATAAACCCACACAACTACAGACATCTGATTTTCAACCAAGGTGCCCAAAATAGTTACAGAAAAGATACTCTTCAACAAATGGTGCTGGGAAACTGGGTATCTGCATATAGAACACTGAAACTAGATCCCTAGATCCCTGTATGTCACTGTGTACAAATCAATTCAAAATAGATCAAAACTGATCTAATGATACCACTTCTGGGCATATACCTAGAGGAACATAAGCCAGGACACAATAGAGCCACTTGCACCCCGATGCTTATTGCAACACTGTTCACAACAGTCAAGCTATGGAAATAATCCAGATGCCCTACAGCTGATGAATGGATTAAGAAAATGTGGTATATGTTTTTGTATACATAAATATACATACATGTATATATACAATGGAGTTTTATTCAGTCATAAGGAAGAACAAACCTATGTTGTTTGGAGGAGAATGGGTGGAATTGAAGGACGTCATGCTAAGTGAAATAAATCAGGTTCAGAAAGACAAAGGCTGCATGTTTTCTGTGGAAGATAGATCCAAAAGATAAACATATACACAAAAACAAGCATGATCATATACACATTTATATATAGAACATCTTTGTAATAGTGGAACTACTCTATGGCACTTGAGGGAGGAGGGAAAGAAAAAGAATGATAGTCAACAGTATCAAAATACATTATTTCTTTGCAGACAGAGGATATGATGACATGCATTGAGAGCTGTTGAACAATGGGGGGGGGTGAGAGGGAAGGGGTAAAGGGGAGTAATGGAAAGGGTTTGAACAAACCAAAGTTAAGTATATTCACAGCTAGGACACACCAAGAAACCTCTTTGAACACTGACTTTGGAATTAAAAATGAAAGAGAGGATAGGTACAGGATGAGGGAGTATTTGTGGGAAGGGGGAGAGTGAATAAAGGAGAGGAAAGTGAGGGGATATGGCTGACTGGCTTCATATACATTCATGAGATAGAACAATGAAATCTCTTGCAATTGTTTTAAGTGGGGTGGGGAGAGTGTAAAGGGTTGGTGGATGTTGGGGGCAATCTAACCAACGTACAATGTAAGGCTATGAGGTATTGGTACAATGAATTCCCCCTGTACAATTAATATATGCTAACTAAAATGAAAAAAAAAAAAAAGAGGCCCTAAACTTTGCAAGTGATACAGGGAAACCCCTTCAAAATATAGACAGACTTTCTGAATAGGACTGCAATAGCTCAGGAAATAAGAGACAAAAGCATCAAATTAAAACATTTACACACATCAAAGAAACAATTGCCAGAGAAGGGGTCAATATCCAGATTATATAAAGAATTCAAAAAATTAAACACCAAAGAAATAATCCAATCAATAAATGGGCAAATGATCTAAACAGCAGTTCTCAGAAGTACAAATGGCCAATAAATGCATGAAAAAACATTCATTTTAGCTACCAGGGAAATGTGAATGAAAATGACACAAGATTCCATCTTAGTCTAGTCAGAATTATTACCATAAAAGAAAACAACAACAAATGCTGGCAAGGATTTGGGGGAAAAGAAACTCTTCTACACTCCTGGTGGTAATAAATGTAAATTAGTGCAGTCACTATAGAAATCACTATAAAGGTTCCTCAAAAAGCTAAAAATAGAACTACCATGTGATCCTGCTATATCACATCTGGGTATATTTCCAAAGGAATCAAATTCAACATACAGTGGAGATAATGCACACCCATGTTTATAGCAGCACTATTCATAATAGCCAAGCTATATAATCAGTCTAGGTGGTCAACAGACGAATGGATAAAGAAATTATGATATTTATACTCAATGGAGTTTTATCTATCCAGCCATATTGAAGAATGAAATTACATCATTTGAAGGAAAACAGATAGAATTGGAAATCATCATGTTAAGTGAAATAAGCCAGTCAAAAGGCAGTATGTTTTCTCTCGTAGGTGGACTCTAGACCTAAAAAATCAACTAACAAACAAAAAGGCATGATAGTACAAGGAGGACTATTGGTAGGGAGGGGAGCAGTGGGAGGGAAGAAGAGAGAGTGATGGGGTTAAGTATGAATGAAGAACATACGTAAATTATATACATGTACAAAAATGCCATGATGAAAGAACAGATATCAAGCAACTTCAAAACCTTGCATTTTAATCTTTAATGAGAAAGACCAAACATGGGAGGGTTCTAGTCTTAGAACATGAACATATTCTAAACATTTTTAAGTTAAATTGACAGATCTATTATAAAGATTATTGTTCTAATCAGCAGTTCTCTAAGTTTGGTCTCCAGACCAGCAGTTTCAAGACTATATCTGAGAACTTCCTTTAAAATACAAATGCTCAGGTCCCAACCCGACCTATACAATGAAGGACCAATTTTTGGGATGGGGCCCAGAAATCTGAATGTTAAGCAGTCCTCCAGGAATTCTGATATGGACTAGAGGTTGACAAAAGCCTCACTAGAGGTATGAACCCAAATGTAAGAACAAAACACATAACTGCTTATTAAATGCTAGGAGCATATCTGTTGGCAAAGAAGCTTTGGCTATCTGCATAGTTACATTCGCCTGGACAGAAAGTGACCTTTATACAAACTTTGTCTTGCTCAAGGAAGACAAACTGTGGTGATGTGACTATTTCATTACACATTGCTCAGAAGTAACCAACCCACAGGCTCACAGCACAATGGAGGGTTTGAAATGGCACCAAACTCCTGCCCATCATGACACAACCAGCAGTCTGTTGATGGAATTAAGCGATGTGCAAAATTAAGGCTTTGATCTCTCTCTATAGTCTGCTGTAAAGCTTTGGGAAAGTCAAACCATATAAGGAAAGTGCAATTTTTACTATGCTTATTTGAATGTTCTTCACCCAACTATACTTACCAGCCATGATACCTTAAGAGTTCCCTATTTCAAATGCCACTCTCAGTGAAAGAATCAGGCTTTCTGTCAAATGCCTAAACACCTCACAAGTAACTGGAACTTAATGTTAATTATCACACCCATAAAATATTTTGCTCTTATAAAACATGTACTAGAAACATCTAGCTATAGAAAAATAAATACCAATTTCACTGGGATATTAATTTTTTAATCAATTCCATAGAAAAGCTACATAGTAGAAACTTATGTACAGGTACAAGATTAGGAGTTAAATATATGTTTAAGAAAGAGAGAGAGAGAGAAAGCCAGGTGCCAGTGTCTCACGCCTATAATCCTAACTGCTCAGGAGGCAGCGATCAGGAGGATAGCGGTTTGAAGCCAGCCAGGACAAATACTTCTAAGACCCTATCTCAAAAAAAATCCTTCACAAAAAAGGACTGGTGGGGTGGCTCAAGGTGTAGGCCCTGAGTTCAAGTCCCAGTAACACACAAAAAAACAGAGGTGAAGAGATCAGGAGGAGCATGGTTTAGGGCCATCTGGGAAGAGAAGGGGAGGGGAAGAGGGCCCAGTTATCAAAATCCCATCTCAATGAATAAAGGATGGTGGTACAATGTGTTCTCAACTACCCATGAGGCATAGGCAGAAGGATTATAGTCCAAGGTTGGCCTCGGGCAAAAACACAAGACCTTATCTGAAAAATAAATGAAAGCCAAAAGAGGTAAGTCATGGCTCACGTGGTAGAGTGTGAGACCCTGAGTTCAATCCCCAGTGCCAATAAATAAATAAATAACCTATAAGTTATTTATTTACACTCTCAGAAAAACCCCATTAGAGAAAGAATTTCAGAAGTTGGAAAACTATAAAGCATGAGGAGAGACATCCCTAGATAGAAAAAAGGACTATTTCTTTAACCCACAATTCTTCCAAATGTTTCTCCCCTTCTCTGTGGCTGCAGAGCAAAGAAGAGCCATTTTCTAGTCTCCCTTCTGGCCAATTGTACCATGTGACTTTATCTCTACCAATGGGCAGGTAAAAATGGAAGGGACAGAACAAACTGTACTCACTTGCTTAAAAGTACACCCTTTCCCTAGATTTCTGCTCCTTCCCCACTGTGGCTACAAGTGGTATAAACGGAGTAATCTTGGAAGCACAGAGCTACATTGCTGACCTGGGTCCCGGAGTCTGAAGTGGGAGAGAAACAAACCCTTGTGGTCTTCAGTCATTGTACTGTTGGATCTCTGTGACAGCAAATGAGTCTTTACCCTACCATGGGAGAAAACAAGGAAGGCAGGGAAGGAGAAAATGGAAAAGGTAAACACTATACTAATAAGCTATCAGAATCTGTAGTAAGAAGCCTACTTCATTATACACAAAAGAAATGAGAGAGAAATCGGCTTTAATAATTAGGGGTTTGCCATTTTCATAATGAGTAGTGAAAATATTTAACAAACTCTGTACATAAACAAATATTTTCTTGGCAAAAAGCAAACAAAGTAATGATCTTAAATACATAAAAACAAGAAGGTCCTGATGACAAATGAAAAATATTAAGACAAACTGCCAACAAGTCACTGCATTGCAAGAAAATAAGAACATTAAAAAATTCCTTAGGTGCTATTTTTAACTAGCTCAGAAAACTGGCTTAAAATTATTTGCCATTCTTTTCTAAAATACGACAGTAAATAACAGGTATACAAAATGAGTCATGTAACCTTGTCAGGAGGAAGCATGCTTAGTAACTTATTAAAAGCCCAGGGTTACAGATTTCACCTAATCAAATTAGTAAAAGCTTGCTCACAAAGATAAAGCCCAAAGACTAATGATGGATCGCAATGGCTGGAGCTATAGGGACAGCCTTAATGAAATGAGTAGGACTAAGTGCTGGGCATGGCTGGATTAAGTAAATTAATAGAATAGAACAAACAATAAAACCAGCTGACTTTCCACCTTCCTTTTACAGGGTAATGAACTCTCTACAGCTTTCTGGGCATGATAAATCATAGCACAAAACTCAAGTCTCCTATAGTTCTTAAAATGCAAAGATTGTGAACAGAAATATAGACTTGAAAGGATAGAGCCTTCCCAGAGAAAAGACACATTCTGTCTTCCAATGAATCAACAGGAAAATGTAGAAATTTAATTTGTGACCTTGAATCACAGGAGTCTAATAACAAAGAATGAGTCTTGATGAAGTAATTTAGCTTCCTAAATTAAATTGTTACTAATATACCTTCAGTTACTCACAATTCTTATTCTTCAGCTTCTGTTAACTCTGAAGTATTTGATGGGTTCGGCTCTAATGTAACAGAAGTCCATGGCCAAATGTACTTATAAGATAAGAAGTGCATTTAAAACGTCTCTACCAATGTTCAAACTTTGCTTATAAAACCCACATCTACAATCCCAAAGCTTTAATTAAAAACAATAATAGAAAAAGACAGCCACTTATTGGTACTAAAGCCTTTACTGTAATAAACCAAATATATTTACAATTTATACAAATGTTTAACCTCCAACAAAAATACAAAAAAAAAAAAAATCACAAGATGCAAAACCGGCAAACAAGTTCATTGGAGATACCACTGCTCTACAAAGGACGCAACGTGAGGTGAACTGCAAGGAACAGAAAGGCAATCTCACACTAGGCAAGGTGTGAGCAACAGATCCCCCAGAAAGAAAAGAATGGGCTATAGCACAGGCAGCAGATTCTGTTCCACAAATCCCACACCCGTGGCCCCTCTGTCCATGAGATCTCAGTGCTCCACTTGGTCTAGGTGGGTAGACAGTCTGTTGATGGACTCGTTGCCTCCTCTTCATAGACTCCAAGTAGTTTTGTGTCAAGGTTTGGAAATAGGTTCTTTAATGTCTTTTTTTGTTGTTGTTCTTTTAAAGTTACGACTTCTCTATTTCTATAAATTCAAAACATTTTGGCCCAATTCAACTATAAACGTTAAGCCACATAATGATTTCAGTAGATGACTTCATAAACTGTAGCCTTCTTGTCCCCAGAGCCTGTGACTATGTATTTATCATCCACAGAGATGTCACAGCTAAGCACTGACGAGGACTCTTTGGACTGGAAAAGAAAACAATGAGCATGTGATGAACATGGAGTGAGGTACCCAGGGGCCCTGCTCCCTCTGAGGCACCTTCATGTATGGTTTCAAAGGAGACACCATAGTCAAATTGCTATTTTGTATAAAGAACACTTAAGTTACCTGGAATATACTGGCTCCGTAGGGGGTCCGCCAAGCATTGAGGAGGTTGTCTTTTCCAGTACTTACAAACCATTTACCTAGAATGAGCAAAGAAATATGCAGCTCTAGCAAGATTAAAATCCTACTATACTTTTACCACTTGGACTTAATCAAACACAGCATTTTTTTTTCTGATAGTGAGACTTGAACTCAGGGCCTCCACCTTGAACCACTCCACCAGCCTTTCTGTGTCAGGTATCTTCAAGATAGTGTCTTGCAAACTATTTGCCTAGGCTGGCTTCGAACTGAGATCCTCCTGATTTCTGCCTCCTAAGTAGCTAGGATTACCAGTGTGAGACACCAGTGCCAAACTCAAACACAGCATTTCTAATGCATTAACTACCATGCTTAAATGGTTGTCCTATGACCTGAACAGAGATTTTAACTCTGGCTCCTCTGTGTGATCCTGGATAAAATCAAAGAAGTGTCAGCCCCATCAGTCATATGGACACATAGCTTGAAGCATCATATCCAGTACGTGGTAGGCCCTCAAATACTGAATCAATGAGGTTGTTACACTTCAGTCAGTGTCCTCATGAACAGACAGGACAAGGAAGAATAAGTGTTGAACTTATGTAAGATACAAGTCATGATAGACGGTATAGAGAATGTGCTCAGTAAATGGTGGCCACCCACCCACCTATGACCTATGACTGCCTACAATGCACAGAAACAGACTCCACACGAACTTCTCCCCTCTCACTTTACTGTGGAGGGAAAAAATCTGAATGCAGCTAAATATCCCTTTCACTGACCTTGGTTCTTTATCCTGACTGGCTGGTTACAACTTCCACTGTTCCTGTCACAGTCTTCTAAAAATTCCCACTCACCCCTCTCCAGAATTGTAACAATTGCCCAACACCCCCGCCAAAAACAAGTATGTGTGCAAACCTTGTATTAGGCAATTTCATCGCCTGCTGACTTCTCTCAAATTAGCAAAACAGACATTACTATGCTCTGAGGGACATATTAAAACAATAGAATTATTGCATCCAGCTGCTCAGAGAACATTTTTTCCAGATATGATCTCTAACCATATTTTTTTAGAAGTATTTTCCATGTAGGCCATCAATGGTCTCCAGTTTCCTTTCAGTTGAACTCACCACAATAAGCAAATTTCAGGGACAACACACAGCTCTCATGGAGATGCAGCTGGTACTTATCGGGCTTATTCACATGCAGAACTTCCACGTTGCTGCTCTCCATGCCCACAGCCAGCCACTCCCCAGTTGGGCAGTATCCCAGGGAGAAGATCTGTAAGAAGCAGCATATGAACACTGATTATTTTGCTCAGTAAACTTAGTGAAAAGTCAGCAAGAGAGGTTGTGGAGACAGAGACAGACAGCAATAGTGGCACTGTGCCAACAGATGTCCTACAGATAGATACTTGTGTGTTTGTATGTATGTATGTATCTATCTACCTAATTTTGTATTTTTAAGTAAACCTAATATATGATCTCAAAGAACAAAAAAAAAAAAAAAAAAAAAAGAGGGGACTCAATCAGCCAAATTCAAGCTGTGGTAAAGGATATAAGGCAAACAAGCCCAGCTCAGATGGAGCACATGTCAAAAACCTTCAGAACAATTGGCAAACTTTAAATACTTCTATCATATGAGAAGAAATTTAGGGATTATTCTTAATAGTAGTGATATTTGTTTGTGTTTCAAAAGAGTCTTTACAAAAAAAAAAAAAAAAAAAGAGTCTTTACCTTTTAGAGACACTAATTGAAATACTTGTGAATGAAACAGCAGGATATCTAGGACTTAAAGTAACACAGTGCCTAGGTGAGTATGATAGAAATGATAGATGAGACAAGACTGGCCACATGCTGATAACTACTGAAGCTGACTGCTGTGCACTTGTACAATTCTCTGTATGTTCATATGTGCTTGATCATTTTCTGCATTCACTTGAGAATTTCCATAAGAAGCTTAAAAGGGGGGGGGCAGAGAAGGAGATCAATAATAATATCCTACATATTTTAGGAAAAATGATTTTTAAAAAATCAACAAGTAGGGACATAAAACATTGGCATATATATGTCCTATTTTTGAGTTGACTTATTTTCATTATTAAAAAAGGTTAATAAACTCCAAGGAATAATAAAAAGAGCAATTCTACCACCAGAAGACATTTCAAATGACAAGTACTGCTTTACCCAAAACAAGTCTAGACTCAGACACACAACATCTAACTACTTCCCACAATCTACAAAGTTGCCATTTTTATCAGATTTCAAAACTCCGTAAGTCTAGTTGACCATGAGTCCCTTTTGTAAGGGATAAGTAATAAAATGGGATCCAGAGATAAGACTGCATTTTTGAAAGCAAGGGAAATGAATTAACTTTCAGAGCTGTTGTGATTTTCTTTACTTCTAGTGACAATTTTGCACATCCTTCAAGCTCTATGTAAATGGGAATCCCATAATCACTTTCACTCCGAATTAGACAGTGAGAATATGTACAACAGGCTAAACACTGCAGAAGGAAAACCTTATTCTTCAATGTATGAATTCCTTCAACAAACTCACATATAAATAAAGCAAGTAACATTATTTTACCTACAAGGCTTCAGGAGCCACTCTTAAGAATTTCAGGAGGATTTTGTTAGTCTGTATGTGTATATACATGTGTGTTTATGTTTTTAATTGGTTATCTCAAATTTGACCCTGAAATGTTTGTCCTACTATCCTGGTCTAGGGTGGGAAGGAGGTCACATTCAGAGTCCCTCAGAGATTCCAGACCAGGTGTGAGTCAGGAAGTCACCTGTGAGGTGAAGTCATGCTGCTGCAGCTGCCGCCCTTCGCGCAGGTCCCAAGACCTGACCGTGTTGTCCAAACCTCCTGTCCAGAGCTTGGTGCCATCATTAGAAATGTCAATACAGCTGGCTCCATCTGTGTGGCCCTGGAATTGCCTGATAAAACAAACCAGATTGAATAATGATTTCCTGCCACAGCTCAAGGTAAACACTGTTGAGTTGTTAGTTTTGGACTCTCTGTGTGTCACCTCGTCAGTGTCTGCTGATGGGTAAGATCAAGCTCACCTTCCTCCTTCCCCCACAGAGGACTGGAAATAGCACCTGCAGATTTTGTTTCTTTTTTTGTGATCTAAGAGCTAAAGAAATGGAATGCCATTGTAGGTCACTACCCTAAAAGTCAATAAGCTACAATAGTTTCTATGACACATCCATCTAGAAAGTAAAACTCCTATATTTGGAAAAGTGACCAACCATCACACACAGTAGCCACTAGCCACTAGTTAAAAGAAAACAAAGGACAAACATATGATCCCAGGTATATTCCTTAAGGCAAGAGGAAGGCCTGTCCTTCTCATTGATTCAATGAGAAGGAAGTGACTACAAAGATGACAGACAGAAGTGTTTTTATTCCATAAGCAAATCAGCACAGCAACACCCTTGTGCCAACAGAGAGGGAACTCACCTGTTTACTCAACCTGGCTTTCTGAGTAAGAAAGAGCCCTGCATTGGGAAATGTGGACTCCTGGAGACCAAGAGTCATGCCAGTGTCCTGACCTCAGAGGTGCTGAGCAGAGAAGGTAACTGCTGAGGCCGACCCATGGGCACCTGGCCAGATGCTGCCTCTAGGTGAGAACAGGGCTTTTCTTTACAAGAAAAGGAAAAATCCCCACCATTGCCCTACATTCTGAGTCAAGATGTAAACCAGCATTTCAACAATCTTTCTTTTCCAAGCATCTCAAAGATTCACACTTCGCATCCCATCCCCCACACATGTCCCACTTTCCCTCTGCTCCTACCAGACATGTGCCCCCCAACCTTGTCAACAGGCCTCTAAGACTTCCCCATGGTCACTCAGGGCTGGAGCAGTCCCCATGTCACCTTTGCTTCTTTTTCTTCAAGCAACACTAGAAATGTAGTGATCTCTTTTTCCTTTACTCTGACTTCTCGTCACCTCTTCACCCCAGTGATTGCTTAGTCCTTCACTAAAAACCTCTTTGCTGACTTGTCTATGCTGGATAGGTGCTCCTCCAGCCTCCAACCTCCATGCACATCCCAGTGTCACTGCCAGGAGGCAAAGCCTGTGACTGCTCAGAACGTGCTGTGCCACAGGAGATACAAAGCAATTCAGGAGAATCTGCATGACCCTTCACACGCAGTAGCCACTAGCCACGTGTGACCAAGCCAAACTAAGAAGATTTGTAAAGCTTTCTCCCTTATATTGAATATATATTTACTCCCAGGGAGCCAGCACAGAGCCAGGGTTCAGAGAACAGACAAGAGGGCAGAATGCCTGGGTCTCATCTCAGCTCTACCATGTCTGACTATGAGACCTGAGGTGAACACTTCTCTGTGCCTCAGGCTCCTCATCTACAAAGTAAGGAATAATAGCAGCATAGGTGTTAGAAGAGCTAAATTGAGTGACATTTGGAAGTTGCTTAGAATTAAAGTGATATGGGAGGGAGGGAGGGAAGAAAGCAGGGACGGAGGAAGGCAGAGAGAGAGGGAGGGAGGAAGGGAGGAAGTTAGTTAGTTAGTTAGTTAGTTTAGCCAGGCAAATTGAAAGGGCTTTCAGCTCTGACTCCATTAGTTCCTTCTGCTCACACTGCAGTGTTGCTCATATACAGGGACAGAACCTGGCTGAATGACAGTTACTGGATTTCTGCAAGGAGCTCTGAAGCACGCATGAGCTATTGTGATGACTTCTATGGGAGGGTGTTCCTTCTATGTGTACACTCAGACCTAAAAGCTTTAGAAGGCACCTGCCCAATAAGCCATGGGCCTCAAACTGTATCATCAACAAACATGGTTTTCAAGTGAAGGAGAGCTGTGGAAAAGAGTCAAACACACCTTGATTTTACCACTGATGTTTCATTAGGTCTTACTGTTTTAAAGACCTTCCTTAAACATCTTTGGTGTGAGCACTGACTGAAGTGGAAGACCCACAGTAATTGTTAAGGTCAGGAGGGCAGGTTCCAGAAGCCAGGCAGAACCTCAGGCACTCTGAGTGAAGAATCCCCTGAACATGTATCCTGGTTAGCTACTGAGAAACAGATACTTTAAAATCATTTCATGTTCCAATTCATGTAATCTCTTGTACTGTTCTTTTGATGATTTTCTTTTATCTTCTATCAGTCCTCTCCTGTTTGCACAAACATTGTACTACCAAAAGCCCCAAACACCTAGAAGGGCCCTTTGTATTGCCATATAGTTCACATTATGACACCCCTTGAAAAGCCTCATCTGTCATTCACATATGGGCTGACGACTGGGGACAAGAAGGAGATACGGTCTTGGGTGACACTCTATCCTGAGATGGCAACATAGTTTTGTTTTGGCCCTCCCTTCCCCCTTCTCCCAGGCATGGCAAATAGTAGGCTTTTAATGGATAGGTTCAGAGCCTGAAGGCAGCAGGGGAAGCAGAAGTGACAGGAGGCCCTCTCTCAAAGAGGGAGCCTCCCCTAGAAAACCACCTGTGCTCACCTCACTAGTGTCTGATTGTGCAGGTCCCACACAGCAATATTGCCGTCGCTGCAGCACGAGAAGCAAACCTTGGAATCGGGGCTGATGGCCAAGGCATAGCAGGCAGGGGCTGAAGATGTCAACTCTGCCTTGATGCGCGGGGTCGGAGCTGCCAGGTCCCAAATGGACAGAGTACTGGCTTCCCCTCCCACTATGAGAGTGCAGCCATCAGGTAGCAATTTACAGGAACGGATATAATTATCTCTATTCTGTGAAATAAACAGAATTCAATTACTATAATGCATTATCAAGCAATAATAGTGCTGGGTCTCTAACTGCTGTGTTGAGTTTTGATTTAAGAGTGGCATTTCATGGACTCTGTAGGAAAGATTGGGGGTCCAACTGCCACTGCCTCGTTCAAGTAAACAAAACAAACTCACAGGACTACTGGCCACATGGGAAGCTCAGCAAATCTCCTGATTTCCTGCTGCACAGACAGACCTAAAATCATACAAGTGAGGGAGGGTGGGTGTCCTTCTCTAAGAAGAAACCACTTGTAAGAGCCAGCTGAAAAATCTCTTACCTCTTCATCTCTATTACTTATGATTTGGAAACTGCAGACCCACTGGATACATTCTGGTTTCCATTACTTGTAACACTCTGCCCAAGGCAGCACTGAGTCTTCAGTAGTCAGAAAGATGCTTATCTTAAGCATTTAGCAGAACTGCTTTCTCAAGATGTAACAGCTACTGTCCTACACCATGTTACTCCAAACACCAAAGAAACTGATGAAAGGTGTCTCTCCATCAAAGCCACTACATATGAGAAGAGGGGGAAGAGGGGAAGACCTCATATGATCCACCTCTAGAAAAAATAAGTGCTCTCTCCTCCAACTCAAGCCCCAGTGGATATGCTTTAACAGTGGCCTATTTTTCAAAGATCAGAGAAACTCTGAGCACATAACTTCAAAACAGAATATACTTACTGAGTGTATTACCGAGTATTAAGCTACAGTATGAGTTTAATTAAAGGACCCTTATTTGGAGACAGGGTCCATTGTGTAGCCTAGGCTGGCCTCAAATTTTTAATCTTATTGTCTCAGCTTCCCTAGTATTAGGGTTACAAGCATGTGTCACCAGGCCCAGTTTTAAGTTATTTGATTAAAAAACACAACCCTAATAACTTCCTCCCAAAACTCTTTGCATCTCAATAGCACTGCCATTTTGTTTTGGGGGAACATATGAGGAACTTTATATTCTTTGATGCAGACAGTGGACAACCCACAGCAGCTGCAAGAGCAGACACCACCGCTAGCAGGGCAGCCCAGCCCTTTCTCTGTTGATGTCCCGTGGTGTGTAAACCTTGGAGTTACACTTTATAGAGACGGTAGCATGTTCCTAAAAAGGAGAAACTGGTGATTTCAGGTCTAAGAGAGCATGGCTTGGTGCCTTGGGAAGGCTTTCTTCCTGCTCTTCTACTGCTATGCTTTGCAGCATGATCCTTTAACCCTTTTCTGAAGTTACAGCAGTGAAACCAAACAATCTCCTTTACTAACACAAACCCTGCTCAGAACAGTTTGCAAGTCACAGTATTAAATGTTTACTGTACAATATTTATCTGAAGGTTGTAGGGAAATTAAATGTTGAGTGGATTGCAGGGATCAGAGTCCAGGCCTTGCTATGCTTACTTCCATTACATGGGAGTAAGGATACAGGTCTGCACAATGAGCTTCTATAAACCACTATAAAAAACATTTAAAAAAAAAAAAAAGAAAGAAATCAATCAATGCTAGGATCCAACCACTGCAATGGCAACAACTGAAAACTACCCTGTTAGGGGAGGGGGTAGAGAGGGCTGAGCAGCTAACACAGGAAACAGGAGGGGCTCCCATTTCCTCTTAATGGGAATGAAACCCAGGCCTGGGCAGCTATTTCCTCACTGAGTCTCCAGAGAGAAATTACCCTCCTGCAACAGTTCCTGCTTGCTCACCAGACAGTCCAGCTGAGAGACGGGGCTCTTGTTGCCAGGGTGGCTGATGTCCCAGACCTTGACGCAGCCCTTGCCACCCGTGTACACGTGTCTCGTGGGGTTGCTGATGGTCACTGCACACACCACCTCCCCGTGGTTGAGGGTGTTGATCTGGCGAGCGTGTCGGGGGATTCCGGGTCCAATGAGGGCATCAGGGGGAAAGGGGACAGGCTGCATCTGGCCGTCTGCAGTGACATGGAAGGAGTATGCACTTTCAAAGAGAGGAGAGAAAACATACTTATTATAAAGCGATCAGTCACGACCTCAGCTCTGCTTTACAACAAAGACAGCAAAAAGCAAAGCTTCTCTTGTGATGGCTTCCCTTTTGAAATTAAGGACTGAAGTATTTACTGATAAAAATTTTAAACTGAATAATATCTGAAATCAAGGATGCAACAAGATACCTGTATTGAGTTCTATTTTGAATGTTTTTAAGATTCAAAAATTGTGCTTATCTATTCTACAAGTGTTATCTCAAATCCCAGCATAAAACAATGCTCTTCCAAATTAACATGAAATACCTACTTCCAGGTACCTTGTATGATAGTATGATTTCCTAGTACAATTTACAATGATTTCCAATGCTTAAGATAAAGCACTTAATAACTCTTAATAATCACAGTAAATAGTATGTTTATCACTAAAAAGCCCCCAAAAAACAGCTTTTAAAACACACCAGTTTAAGGCTTAGACTCGTAATAATCACACACAGTAAAAAGTGTATCAACACTAACAAATAAGAAACAGCTTTTAAAAACACACCAGTTTAAGGTTTAGACTCAAACTCTCTTTTTGTATAACCAAGAAAAAATAAGAGATTCCTACATCACATGGCTTCATGGCAGAGATTTTGTTTCCTATTCCACCATTTTTCTAAACAACTCTGATCACTGATCCCGGTTTAATCTGAGGCAGCATAGCTCCCACCAAAAAAAGATAGTCTTCCCAGCTTTGCTTACCCACATATGTTCACGCTGTGACCAATGAGATGCAAGCAGAAGCTGCTGGGTACTTTAAAGTTTTCACTTGAAAGAAAGCAGGGAAGAGAAGGGCATATGGGAACTCTATAATTTCTGCTCAATTCTGCTATGAACCTAAATCTTCCCTTCTTCTCACTCCCTGTACAAAATGACTGGACCTTCCTCAGCCTTTTGGGGTCATAAGGTGGCTTTGAAGATGGAAATCAGCTACTGAAGGAAGACAGAAAGACAGAATGCAGAGGCCCTGGTGACACTAGATAGCTGTGACACCTGCCCTAGGCTGCTGGTACCAAGTGACTTTTGTGGGAGATAGAAGTAAATTTCCATGTTATTTAGGTTACTGTTTTCTTTCCCCTGATAAATACAAATCTAATCCTAGTTCCATATTTCTATTTCCACATCAAAAATCATCATGTACTGTTTTAATCCAATGAACTAAATTATTTCACCTCCAATAGATAGTATGTAATGGAAATTACAAAACATGTACAAGTTAAAGACACCTTAAAGGATCCAAGAAAAAGAACTGCTAATGTATTCACTTGACATCCCAAATAGAATTAATGCATGTGCCATGTTGAGGGCTTTAACTTTCTCAGTGTTACCTAAGGCACCGCTAGGAAATCTGGAAGTTCAAACCAGAAACCATCAATGAAGTATGCACAATGTCTCCTCTCCCACAAACCCCTGGATAAGCCTGAGTCCTTTCTTGAACTTGTCACTGACACTTTAACCTATTTAAACACCAAGAGTACTAACACAGAGCTTAAATTATCATTTTAAAACTAATTCAAATTTTATAAAATAAAACTGGGTACAAAACTGAAAATTGATGAAAGATATCAAGTCTCTACTACCCTACACTTAAAACTCACATGCTTTCACTTGGAAATACAATATGGGCTGCTATTTTCTCTTCTTAAAAGCAACATATCAAATACACAAAGACTTAAAAGTTCTCCTCCACTCAGCCAAAGACTGTAGACATGTTATCTCCTGGAAAACTGGTTCCAATAGTGTTCAGTGGCTATTTGTCTCAAATCTTTAATGCTACTCTTTATTGTTGTTATTTTTTATGGTGCTGGGGATCAAATAATATTGCTCTTAATTTGAAACTGAGCACACAGAACGGGAACTACGCAGACTGTTCTGGGAAATAACTATGTACATAAAACAATACACTTTAAAGCCCTCACATCATCAAACCACGAAATCTCATTCTTTAAAGTCCAACGGGATCCCTTGGTATTCTTTGGAATGTATAAAGTCCAACTGATATATCAACATATGTATATTATAATTAGTTGAACAGGAACCTATGCTACTTATTTTGGGATATCTGAAATTATAACCAAATAGCACTTTGTTGCCTTTAAAAAGAAGACCTACGGCTTCTTCTCCTCCTCCTCCTCCTCCTTCTTCTTCCCTTTCCTCACTTGGCAGAACAGGTGATTCCCCTTCCCTCAATAAAGCTATTCTTAAAAACAACAACAACAACAACAAAAAAAAACCTATGAACTGAGGAGGTTCAAATTTATTCCTTTTCTATTAGAATTACGGACCTCAAATAACTTGGCCATAGGACAAAGTCTAGTGGCAAGGTATATGACCCAGATATTAAATATCTGGGCCAGAAGGTGACAAGGGAGTATCCGGGTGATGCTGAGAAATAACGAGTTTCCATAAAATAAAACAACTGGGGCTGCACATATTTTGTAAGACCCATGGTTAAGGAGGGGAGAGAACCTGCTTTTCAAAGCCCTCTCATGAGTGCAGTGGCACAGTGGGGGTTGACTTTTCTTTGTGCCATTAATCAAGGTGGTGTTTCCAGGTGAGGCAGTTCTCATCAGGCTCCCTTCCAACAATCCCAGATTTTCTGGAGGATATTTTATCTCACTTCAACTGAAATCCTGCTCATTATAGAGTTAAATGTTCCAGATTAAAACAGATGCACAAAGTACAGATGGAAAAGATGTATGCTGGTCTTTTGAAGCCACCCTCTTCTCTCCTAGGTGTCCTCTTCTTTTAACTGCACAGGAGGCCAGCAAGCATCATACAGAGGCAATTTAAAATTGATTCACCATGCAGCAAACTGCTGCCAGAGCTGTGAACATCCAACCGTCCCGGGGGAAACCCATATGGATGTTAATACATCAGTCACAGGGGACCTTGGAGGAAGCGGGAACTGCCCTGCTGTGCTGGAACCTCATCAAATGAACAAACCAAAACAACACAAAAGGCTGAGGAGTCTCCACCAGGAATCCACTGAAGGAAAAAAACAAGCAACAAGACCATTTGGAATTATTTATTCACTTACAAAAACAACAGAAACTTCCTGAATAATGATACCTTGTAACAATGTTAAAGAGATCCCAAATGAAAACTTATGCTTGAGGAATTAGGAAAAGTTACATCAATAAGGATGGGACATTTATGAACAGAAATAAGTACAATTGTGCCCGCCAAGGGGAATGCATTTCCAGACCCCCAGTAGATGCAGAAACTATAGACAATACAAGGATCTTATAGACTGTAGTCTTTCTTATGCAGGCAAATCTATGACAAAGTTTAATTTATAAGTTAGGCACAGTAAAAGATATAAGTGATAACAATAAAACAGAGTAATTGTTAACAATACACTCCAGTAATCCACTAACATCACTACTACTTTAAGGGCATTATTAAGTAAAACAAGGGTTCCCTGAACACAAGCACTGAAATACTACAGTAGTTGATCTGATAATGAGACAGCTACAAAGTGACTAAAGGGCAAGTAGCATACATAGGTTGGATACAAGGACAAGGGGATGATTCATTTCCCATAGAGATGGAGGCAGGATAGTGTAAAGATTTCAGCACTACTCAGAATGATGTGATTTAAAACTTACAAATTATTTCTGGACTTTTCCATTTAATAGTATGGACTGCAGTTACTGTGGATACCTGAAATCACAGAAAATGAAACTGCAAATAATGGGGGATATATTTATATTCATAAGTATCCCTCAAATCCCAATTCAGGATAAGGGGAGACACAAAACAATGTACATGGCACAAGTGCTTTTTATACAAGTTTACACACAGGGGAAATCTGTCAGAGAAATGAAGGTCAGGGTGATAGTTACCCTTGGGGTACAAGAGGGGCTGCTGGGGTGATAGTCCTGTTCCAGTTTTTGATCCTGGGGCTGGTTCACATATAGGTGCCCTTGGTAAAAGCAGCTGAGCTACGATTTGAACATGGTTCTATATGTGTATCACATCTCAGTTTTTAAAATTTAGATTCATTTATTCAAGAAGTCAAGGGAAGGCCTCCTGAATGATTTTCTCATTAGATTAGGTCCATGGCCAGGCTGACAGCCCAGGGGTTAAATGGACCTCCAATGTGGGCCCTGGCTTGCCAGACTACTAAGTGTGGTCTTTCTCACTGGGCAGCCTACAGCCTATAATATGTCTGTTTTCTGACCCATAAGGCAGAAATTGTAATGAAATGTAAGAGCCATCCTATAGTGAAGTATAAGGTGTGGAAGGATTAAGAAATAACATCTGCAAAAGCCAGCACTTGACACCTGCAGTGGGTCTTCAGGAAATGACAGCATTGTTATGAAATCACTTGGACTTTAACAAAAGGCAAGTGAGGATCTTATCTCTACAGTGGCCAAATATGAGTGTGAGGGGATAAAGGAAGGGAGGAAGATGCAGGGCGGAAATCGGGAAAGCATGAAGACAATGAGCAGGTGAGGAAAACAGAAAAATTCACAAATTATAAAAGGTGAGCAAGGGGCTGTCTCTGGCTAAGACTTACATGTCCATACAGAGGACAGTTTGCTAATCCTACTCCCACCCACATTCAAGAAAGACTCACATAGGGCCCTGGCCCCACTCAGCTTTCTGATCAAGTACCTACAGGTCAGGATTGGTTTGAATTCTTGTCTGGTGGTAGAATTTAAGATTTGAAAAGAAGAAAGCCCACCAAATCTCACAGACATAAAAACTGGTTGAAATCAACAGATTCAGAACAAGGGACTTTTCATTTATTGGGCACACAGCAGAGGTGAAGGACTAAAATGAAAGAGTCCCTGCTGGGGTACCTTGCAACAGTGGCAAGCTGGAAAACAAGACTGGTTGTGAGGAAGCAGGTTGTTTTTCTGAGCAGACCAGCTCCTGTTAATAAAACTATGCTGTGTTCTGCAGCCAAAGAAAAACAGGTGTTTACAGAGTTGCCTGTTTGCTG